AATGCCTTAACCACCACACCACCTGCTGGCCTCTTGGTTCTTTGTAATAGGTTATATTCTCTATATTAAGAATTTGTTACTTGCTCGCCATGTTTTTTTCCATTGGTATTTATGGTGCAATGAATCAGAGAAAACACAACCTTCGTTGGTATTTTAATAAGAAAAATAAGGGTGTAGTGAATTAATGGACTGAAAAAAGTTGATATCCAAGGATTATGAAATTTTCCATAATTGAAATAAAAGAGAACATTGGAATTTCTTTCTTTCTTGCATGGTAACAAGTGCCTGACTTCAGGCACAGTCACTTCTAACTGAGCAGCCTGCTTATGTTATATAGAGTTCTGGCCAGAGTGGAGATTCAAGACTAGCAGTCCTCCAGAGCTACAAGTGGGTTGACATCTTTGGTTGTGGTCTGGTTATACAGTGTGTGTTACCCACTGGCTGACAGTGGAATACATGTATATCCAGTGTGTTTGTCTCAGATAGACTGTCTTTCCAAATAAAGTCACTGATGTGGACAACAGATAAGTAAGGCTAGTGGTCACTGACTGAGTACATGTAAAACTGAGGCGGGGTGATGGCACAGCAGTAATCTCAATGCTCTGGGAATCCAATCCTCAGGAGAAGGTGCTGGGTTTGTGTCCAGAGACCTTCCTGAGTGCCAGGCATTTGCTTGCCCATAGTCTGGGATTGGGTGAGGGTGGAACTCAATTTTAGAATCAGAACCTTATTGGGGCTGTTCTTTGTCTTTCCTTATTAAAAAAATGAATAAAAGAATTAACATTTAAAATGTGTTCTTGTGGTTGTATGACCATGGTTGTGAGTCAGTCCATTTCTAACCTTGAGATGACTTTGACCAGATGCCTTAGATGTTTAGATGTTGCCTTGGGCCATCTGGTGCATAGTCGTTATGGTGTCTTCATCCCACTGGGTTGACTATATTGTTCAATTCCAGATCTCACAGCAAGAGAGACACACTGGGCACATGTGTATGGGTATTCAAGAGCCTGAGAAGAGAAAGAGAATGGAGAAGGGCTTGTAGTGTAGCCATTCCCTCAGGGGTTCTCTCTCTCTTCCTCTATCCTCTTCAAGCACCAGCACCCAATAGCTAATTAAAAGGAAAAAGAAATTATGTGTTGCCTTACCTAAAGCATGTTTATAGTGAAAAGCTCTTTTGCATTGTTAAATTATAAACCTTTTTACCGTTTAAAGTTTAGATCAAAAAGAAGTATGTCCCGAATTCGGTCTGGATAATTTCTTCTCTTTTCTTGATGTTTAGTCTTAACTAGAGTGTTTACATAACTATTATTTCATACATAATTTTTAGTTGTGATTTATTTAGTTTTAGGTATTTTTATGTGCTTATACTCAACTACTAATGTAATAAGCTGTAGTGGGAAATTTCAGTCTTTTTAAATTGATGTAGTTGTTATAATAGTCTTGTTCTTGGGACTAGCAGGGGGGGTAATGGTTATTATTATGTTGGACTTTCACAGAGCTGACTGGGTTTCAAGGTCAAGAATGGCTGCTTTAGATTTATGCCAAATGATTGAGCATGTGTGCCCAAATCCTGATATGAGAATGGAGGAGAAGAGATTTGGAAATGGCCAGACCCCCTGGGGGTTTATTTCTACCTCTGTCTTTTTCTCTCTATGGCTAGGGCATGCCCCCATAGTAAAAATGCCCCTTAAAAGAAATATAATGTTCTGATGTATGCTGTTTACTGCATAAAAATGTAATGACCATTCTCTATTTAGAATTAGGTATTAGGCCCAACATAAAGAAAACTGTTTTAGTCACTTTTTTTTTCCCATAAAACATTACAACTAACCAGATTGCAGGTTTTGAATTATATAAAGTGACATCTGTGTATGTTAAAAATAAGTTCTCACTAACCCTCAATGTTTCTATAAAGTCTTCTCTCATGCTACATGACCCTCACAGTATTTTAAAAACTTTACCAAAATTAAATATCATTTTATATGTAAATAATACTGAAAATGATGGCACTAATCTGTATTGCATCCATGTCTTAACAGTCCTTCCTTGTAGGGGGGTGTTGAACTCTTTATTCTAGAACAGCCTTTTCCTGTAGTGTGGCCGTCAGCTCCAGTACTAGCTTTCCTGCATTTTATCCTTTCAAGGTCTTGCGGAAACACCTGCACTCCCTGTGTCTAAAATGGTGCTCACTCTTTGTTTGCTAAGTTGAAAGTTTTATTTCCCAATTTTCAACTTGTGAACTCTTCTACATGTTACATCTTTAACATAAAGCCTTTTTGTTCTTAGGTATAACTTATCATCAATCAGCTCATGTCAGTTTGTACCATTTTTTTCTCATTTTGAAGCTGAGAGTATATACTTCCTTTGATGTAGTTGACATATGGGATTGTTTATAAATTAGTAAATAAATTAAGATGTGAAAGAGTTGGCATTTTTTAAAAATAGTTATTTCTTTCTGGGATTTGTGGGGTTTTGTTGTCGTTGTTATAATTATTAGAAACAAAATGCTGTTTTAATGGATTTCTCTGCAAGTAGCAATTCTACTCTGAGTGTGAGGGACACAAAGAAGAATGAAAATGAAAAATGGAGCTCCACTAGCTGTAGGGCTCTACAAGTGTTGGAGGTGATTCACCTTCTGATGGTCGACAAGGCGTGAATGTTGTCAACAGTTCGCATGAAATAAATCCAGAAGGAGTAAGGTAAACATCTCTAACTTCTTGATTTCATTGTGAAGGAATATTAACAATGCTGACCTTTTCTAGAAACACACCAAAATAGTGTAGTCATCAGACAAAACAAGAGAACACTCAACTGTTGATTCTATTGAAAAATTGACAAAAATGAGAACAAGCGTTCTTGATATGAAACAATTTCAGTAGATTAGAGGGAAGCCTGACTGGAGGCAAGTATATAAATCTCCTTTGAGAATTTGTAATGGTAAAGACACAAGAAAGCTAGGTAATAAATGAAGAACATAGGATTCCAGGAAGTTTTCTTTCTTTTTAATCTTAAAACAGTTGCTTCTAGATTCTGTTTGTATGCTGTTGGAAATGATCCTATAGAGATGTTTATTATAGTTAAATTTGTTTTAAGTTCTAAGTATTAGAAGGCTTGAAACATTATCTTTTCAGAGTTTTACAATAAGATATTTATAATTGTTCTTTAAAGTTTCAGTCATGTTGGGACCAGCAGTTGGCATAATGGCTATGTTGCTAGACTCTCATGTAGTTGACTGTGGTTCAAGTACCAGACCCGGTGGCTTAAACTTACGATGGGAAAATGTGCGTGTGTTCCTAACATCCCCAGTGGAGAATGGAGGAGAAGGGATTGCATTGTGGCCATTCCCCCGGAGAGTGATTTCAGGTTTTCTGTCTCTCTGTCTCTTTCTTTCTGGCAAGTGCATACATCCTATAGCAAAAACTTCTCCATAAAAAAAGAAAGTTTCATTGATGTAAACTTTCATGTTAAGAGGACATTTATTCAATGTAAGTTCAGAAATGGAATATCATAAGGGATTTCAACATATAAAAGATGGCATTAATTTAAACTCTCATACATGATTTTTTTTTTAAGTAACTATAAACTTACTAAATACACACACACAAACCAGCCTGGGTAGTATTTTTTTAGTTTAGGAGCCAGGAGTTAGCCAGATTGTTAAAAGGCACAGAACTTTCATATGGTAACTGGGTTCAAGTTCCAGCCAAGGTAGGTTTCTCTCTCTCTCTTTTTCTCTCTCTCTCATCAAATAACTATAAAATAATCATGAAGACAGTAAATAAATGAAAAGAAAAAAGAACCACAGCATTTTTTAGTGTTTCATCCCCTTAAGGGAGTGTGTGCTAGCCAGAGAGATTGGAGTGTGAGTGGTGGATGTTAGAAAACATCTCCTGGGTTGATATCCTTGCCTGAATTTTATCTTATACTGTCTCTTCTCAGGATGGTTGGCATGCACACTAACGTACCCAGCATGTTCTTTAAGGTGCTGGGCAGGACTGGGACTTGAACTGCACTCTCTTTTTTCTGGGAATCCAGATCTTAAACTCCCCACTACCTAATGGCCTGTACATTGAGTAGAATCGAGTCCTCATTGATGAGTCTATGTGTTACAGTACATTGTGATTTCCTGAGATACCCTAAAATATCAGTTCTACCTACCCAAAGTTATGTAGACTCTGTGAAGAGAAGTGATATTTACAGCCAATACAAATGTAAACTGCAGAAAAATTGTCATAGATTATTGCTTTCTAGTTAAGTTTTCAAGTATAAAGCCCCATGACTTCTGCACCAGTAATTTTATGAAAACATACTATGCATTTAAACATGCTATGATAAATATTTGTTGAATATACAAAACAACTCTTGAACAAAAGAGTCTCTTGATTCATTTATTCATGAAAAAGTAATCTCTAGATTATTGTAAGCAGCTTTCCATCATAGCCTATGTATATTCTTCTAATTTCTAAATTTTCATTCTTTGTTTTTCTTGCTATAAAGGACATGCCTTCATGACAGAGATTTTCTCTGCTGAGAGAGTTTCAGTTTTTGAACAAGAGATATACAGTGAGTTTGAGGTCCAACCAAGGACAAGTGGATGGATGGCCATAGTACAGTTGTTTCTTCTTTGGGAATTTTGGGCACACACAGATACATGCATCTGGCATGATTTCAATCCACCAGGACTGGGACTGAAACTGAAGTAGGCCATTTGGGATCCAGCACTCTCACCTCCACACCACCTGCTGGCCTCTTGGCTCTTTGTGATAGGTTATATTATGTATATTTAGAATTTTCTACTTACTCGCTCTGTTTTTTTCCATTGGTATTTATGGTGCAATGGATCAGAGAAAACACAAACTTCATTGGTATTTTAATGAGAAAAATAAGAGTGTAGTAAATTAATGGACTGACAAAATTGATTTCAAAGGTTGTACTTTTTAGTAATTGAAATAAAAGATGACATCAGAATTTATTGCCTTTTTGGAGAAGGGATAAAGAGGTAGAGCATTGATGGGATGGGGAGGAATGATGTTATCAGTTGAAGATATTTTGATTGAAATGCTCACACTGTAAGCTAAACAAGGTGATTGAATGTATATACAAAAATAAATTAAGTAAAAAAAAGAAAATTGAAGAAAAAAAAGAATTTATTGCTTTCTCTCACAGTAACCAGTGCTCGGCTGGCCTGGTACAGTCTCTTTAAACTGAGCAAGCTGTTGATCTAATACAGGGTCCTGGGAAGAGTAAGATTCAGGACCAGCAGACCTGAGAGCCACAAGTGTGTTTCCGTCCTCTGTAGTGACATGGTTATTCAGTGAGAGTGATGTCAACTTCTTGACACTGGAAGGCATGTTTATCAGAGTGGGTTTGTCTTGGATAGACTTTCTTTCCAAAGCAAGTGGCTTACATGGAGTGTTGATAAGTAAGCCGAGTGGACACTGATTGAGAACCTGTAAAACTAGCTGATTCCTGGACGGTGGCACAGCAATAAAACACAATGCTTCATGGGTCTAGTTTATAGGAGAAGGTGCTGGGTTTGCATCCACAGATATTTCTGAGTGCCAAGCATTTGCTTTCCCGTGTTCTAAGACTGGGTGAGTCTAGAATTCAGCTTCAGCATCAGGACCTTAATAGAGGTGCTGTCTCTCTGTCTCTGTCTTTCTCTATTAAAAAATGAATAAATGAATGAAAATATAAAATGCTTTCATATGGCTCTGGGTGAGTCCATTTCTAAACTTGACATGACTTTGAACAGATGTCTTTGGTTTAGATGGTGCCTTTAAGCCAGCTGGTGGCATAGTAATTATGATGAGTTCATCTAGCAGAGTTGACTACGTGGTTCATATCCCAGACCCATAGCTAGAGAATCACACTGGGCATGTTGTGTGTGTTTGCCCAAGGTCCTGAGTAGAAAGTGGAGGAGAAGGGATTGCAGTGTAACCTTTACTTCAAGGCTTCTCTTACTCCCTCTCTCTCTCTCTCTCTCTTTATCTCTCTCCCTTCTTCCAAGCACCAACAACAAATAGCTTATTCAAAGGGAAAAAAAAGTGTTGCCTTTCCTCTAATATATTGGAAGTGAAAAACTGTTTCCTACTCTTAAATGATAGACTTTTGCAGGGTTTTATTTTTAGGTAAAATGGAAATGTATAATTATTTCTGTCTGGATAATTTCTTCATTTTTCTTAATGCTTAGTCTTAAGTTATTTACATAACCTGTATTTCATAGATCATTGTTAGCTTTCTTTTTTGTTTTTGGTGCTTTTGTGAGCCTATACTCAACTCCTAATGTAATAATCTCTAGTGGGAAATTTCAATCTTCTTTATAAATGTATGTAGGCATATAATAGTGTTGCTCTTAGCACCTGCAGGTGGTATAATGGTTTCATTTTTGGACTCACACATAGCCAACTGACATTGAAGTCCGAGAAGGGCTGCTTTATATTCACTCCAAATGCTTGAGCATGTGTGCACAAAATACTGAGATAAGCATGGAGGAAAATGGATTGTGCACTGGCCAACCCACATGGGGGCTTATTTCTCACTTTCTGTCTCTGTCTCACTTTTTTGTGCATACGCCCAATAATAAAAAATTTCTAAAGGAAATATGAAGCTCTTAGGTATGCCATTTATTGCATAAAAAGGAATGACAATATTTTATTCACATTTGAATATGGTTCTAGGCTAAATATAAACAAACATTTCCTAGCAGTTTATTTATTTATTTGTTTTTAGGTACTAGGGCCGGGACTCGAACGGCGGTCAATTGCATAGGAGTCCAGCGGCTTAGTCATTCACCATTTGCTGGTCTCCATCAATTTTATTTTTAAACAAAATCATAACTACCAGACTTTGGATATTAAACTATATAAAGTGATGGCGGCGTATTTTGACAATAAGGTCTTCAAAATGCCTGTATTTTAATATTTTTTTCTATAATTGTTATACATCCTTTACAGTATGTTAGAAAATAATTAAAATAAAGCATTATTATATATGTAAATAATACCAACAGGCATAGCACTAATCTCATAACAAGACTTAACAGTCATTCCTGGAACGGGGTGAGCACCTCATTCCAAACAACATTGCCATGTAGTGTGGCGTTCATCTCCAGTACTAGCTTTCTTGCATTTTATACTTTACATTCAAGTTCTTATAGAAACACCTGCACTCTCTGTGTCTAATCTTTGTGCTCACACTTCGTTTGCTAAATAAAAAGGCTTTTCCTGCTTTTTGGCTTAAGAGCTCTTCTTCTATATTTACGACTTTAATAGAAAGCCTTCCTTGTGCTTAGGTACAACTTTTCATACATTGGTTCATGTGTCAACTTGTACTATTTATCCTCATTTTCAAGGTGAGAGCATACACTTCCTTGGATGTCGTTGACATATCAGAATCATTTTTAAATGAGTAAATAAATTATGATGAGACAGGGTTGAATTTTTTCTTTTTAAGAAGTAGATATTTTTGATATGTTCTGGTTTTTTTTTGTTGTTGTTGTTTTTTCTGTATAATTATTTGAAACCAAAGGCTTTTTTACTGGATTTCTTTCCAAGTAGCTATACTACACGGCGTGTAAAGGACACAAAGAAGAATAAAAATGAGAAATGGGCCTCGATGAAACGTAGGTTTATACGAGCATTGAAGACTGATTCACCTTCTGATGGTCGACCAGGTGTGAGTGTTGTCAACAGTTCTCATAAAATAAATCTGGAAGGAGTCAGGTAAACAGCTACAACTTTTTCATTTTCCTGTGACAAAAATTAGCACTGGTTACTTTTTCTCGAAACACAGCAGAATAGTGTAGTCATCGGGTGAAACAAGAACTCTCAACTGTTGATTCTATTGAAAAGTTGACACAAATGAGAACAAGTGTCCTTGATGAGGAGGAGTTTCAGTAGTTTCTAGGAAAGCCAGACAGTGAGATAAGTGTAGAAATCTCCTCTGAGAAACTTTAGTAGTAAAGATAAGAGAGCTAGGTAACAAATGAAGAACTTGGGGTTCCAGGATGTTTTCTTTCTTTTTTTAATGTTAAAACATGATTCTAGGTTATGTTTGTATGCTGTTGGAAATGATCCTATAGATTTGTTTATTATATTTAAATTAGTTTTAAGGTATTAGTATTAGAAGTCATGAAACAGTATTCTTTTATATTTTTACAGTAAAATATTAATAATTGTTCTTCAAAATTGCACTCATATAAACTTTCATGTTAAGAGGGCATTCATTTAAAATGAGTTCAGAAATGATATATCACAATTTATTTCAACATGTAAAGGATGACATAAAGTTAAACTTTCATACATAGATTTTTAAAATATGTCATTATAAACTTACATAATAGGCACACGCAAACCAAGCTGAATAGTATTTTTTTTTTTAAGTTTAGGAGCCAGCATGTTGCGTGGTGGTTAAAAGGCAATGAACTAACATATGGCCAACTTGGTTCAAGTCCCGGCCATGGCAGTTTTCTCTCTCTCTCTCCCTCTCATTTTCTCTCTTTTTCTCTCCTCTCTCTCAACAAATTAGAATCAAATAACCATGATGATAATAAATGAACTGAAAAGGAAAAAAAGAAACTTTATTTAGTTTGATTTTTCCCCTTTACGAGATGTGTATTCTCCAGAGAGAATGGAATGTGAGGGGTAGATGTAAGAAAATATCCTTTGGGGGTGATGTCCATGCCACAGTTTCATCTTCTACATACTCTTCTCAGGGCTGTTAGCATGCTCAAACACGTTCACAATATGTTTTTCAATTAGCCTGGGTAGGGACTTGAACTGCATACTCTGCCTTGGGACAATCCAGTCTTAACCTCCCCACCACCTGCTGTCCCCTACATTGAATAAAATTGGGTCCTCTTGGATGAGTCTCTGTTTTACAGTACCTTTGACAATATCATTGTGAATACCTGTAATATCCAGAGATTTTTCTAAAATATCGGTTCTAACTCCCCAATAGTTAGACTCTAGTGAAGAGAAGTGACATTGTTTCCTTCTAATACAAATGTAAGCTATAGACTAACTGTCATAGATTATTACTTTCCAGTCATCAAGTTCTCAAGTATAAAAAAAAGACATGTTTCCCTGCACCAGCAATGTCCTTAACACATATTATGCATTTGATTATTATTTGTTTCATGTATGAAACAAGTGCTGAAAAACAAGATGAGTCTCATAATTCATTTATTTATGAAAATATAATCTCTAGATTATTTTAAGCAGTTTTCCACAGTGACCTCTGGATAGTCTTTTTATTTGTAAATTTACTTTCTTTCTGTATTTTTTTTCTTTCTTGCTATAAAGCCCATGCACTCACCAGAGATAAACTGAAAAACAGAGATACAGTGACTGTGAAGACCAGCCCAGGGCGGGTGGAGGGATGGGCACACTGCAATTCTTTGTGGCTTTGGATTTGGGGCACACACACACATACATATACCCGGAATGATTTTCAAACTCCCGGTCTGGGCCTAAAACTAAAGTAGTCCATTTGGGATCCAGCATTCTATCATCCACACCACCTGCTGGCCTCTTGGCTCTTTGTTATAGGTTACATTCTCTATGTTAAGAATTTTCTACTTACTCACTATGAATTTTTTCATCGCTATGTATGGTGCAGTGGATCAGAGAAAACACAAACTTCATTGGTATATTAATAAGAAAGATAAGGGTATTATAATTAATGGACTGAAAATGTTCATGTCAAAAGATTATGAAATATTCCATAATTGAAATAAAAGGGAACATTGGAATTTATTTCTTTCTTGCATAGTAACCAGTGCTTGGCTTCAGGCACAGTCACTTCTAACTGAGCAGCCTGCTTATCTTATATAGACTTCCAGCCAGAGTGGACATTCAAGACCAGCAGTACTCCAGAGCTACAAGTGGGTTGATGTTTTCAGTGGTGGTCTGGTTATACAGATTTTCCAGGATTTTCAGGATTTTCCAACCATACTACTATGGTATTTTTCATTAAACTTAACAAAGTAGTAACTGTTGAATTTTCCTGTACATGACAGTATGAGACTTTTTCATTAAATAACATTGAAAGATTTTAAAATTCAAAAAGAAAAGAAAATGTGATGTTCTTATGTATGCTGTTTATTGCATGAAAAGGTAATGACAATTCTCTGTTCATATTATGCTTAGGTACTAGGCTAAACATACAAAAGTTATGTCATCATTTTATTTTTAAACAAAATGGTAACTAACCAGACTGTTGCTTTTTGAACTATATATAGTGACAAATGGGTATTTTAAAAATAAGATCCTGCTCAACCTCCAGTATTTACCTAGTGCCTTCTTTCAGGTTATATATGCCACATTATATGTTAAAAATATTAAAAGTAAACATAATCCTATATATAGGTCATACCCAAAGTAATAGCACTAATCTCTACTGTTCCCAGGTCTTACAGTTGTTCCTGGTAGAGAGTGAGCTCCAGTTTCTGGAACAACATTACCCTGCAGTGTGGTGTTCTTCCCCAGTACTAGCTTTGCTGTAGTTCCTGCTTTCCTTTCAAGTTCCTATGGAAATATCTGCACTCCCTGTGTCTAATCTTGTGTTCACACTCTGTTTGCTAAGTAGAATGTTGTTTCCCACTTTTGCCTGGAGAGCTCCTCTCCTTTACTTTCTCTCTTTAATATAAAGCTTTTCTTTGTGTTTAGATAAAAGTTTTCATAGATGAACTCATGTCAACTTGTACCATTTATCCACCTTTTGAAGCTGAAAGTACATTTCCTTGGATGTAGTTGATATTTTTGAATTGTTTTTCCATTAGTAAATGAATTTAGAAGGGAAAGAATTAGGATTTTTAAGAAAGTAACTTTTTTTAAGTATAATTATTAGAAACCAAAGGCTTTATTTATGAATTTCTTTCCAAGTAGCAATTCTACTCTGAGTGTGAAGGACACAAAAAAGAATGAAAATAAGAAATGGAGCTTGACAAACTGTAGGGTATATGAGTGTTGGAGGCTGATTCACCTTCAGATGGTCAATCAGGTGTGAATGTTGTCAACAGTTCACATGAAATAAATCCAGAAGGAGTAGGGTAAACATCTATAACTTCGTGATTTCCCTGTGGAGGAATATTATCAATGGTTAGTTTTTCTAGAAATACACCAGAATAGTGTAGTCATCAGGCAAAACAAGAGAACAGTCAACTGTTGATGCTGTTAAAAAGTTGAGTAAAATGCAAACAAGCATCCTTGAAAAGAAGTAGTTTCAGTCATTTCGAGGGAAGACTGACTGTGAGGTAAGTAAGTATAGATATCTCCCTGAGGATTGTTAATGGTATAGACAAGAGAGAACTGGGTGATAAATGAAGAACATGGGATTTCAGGAAGTTTTCTTTTTCTTTTTTTTTTAATCTTAAAACAGATGCTTCTAGATTATGTTTATATGCTATTGGAAATGATCCAATAGAGAGGGACTCATTTATTATATTTAAGTTTGTTTTAAAGTCTAAATATTAGAAGACATAGAACATTGAACATTATCTTTTTAAATATTTGCAGTAAGCCATTAGTAATAGTTCTTAAAACTTCTATTCATGTGTAGTTTCATGGTAAGAGGGCATTCATTCAAAATTGCCTCAGAAATGGAATATCCTAAAGCACTCCAACACATAAATGATGACTTAAAAGTTAAATTATCATAAATAGTTGTTTTTAGAGAGGTTTTGTTTGTTTGTTTGTTTGTTTGTTTGTTTTGCTATACAGTGCATGCACTTGCCAAAGAGACAGAGAAAGAGAAGTAGAAAGTGAGAATTCACTGCTCAGGAGGGATGGCCACACTGAAATCTCTTCTCCTACATTCTTCTCTTGGGATCTTGGTAACACATACACACGTTCCTAGCTCAATGTTAAGTCACTGGGTCCAGAACTTGAACTGCAGTTGATTATGTGGTAGTCCAGCACCATAAATATTACACCATCTGCTCGTCCCCATGCGTGGATTTTTTTTTCAAACAATATGAAGAATAATTCACCAAGCATTGGATTGTTCACCCACTAATACGGAACATGAGCTGGGTTTAGACCATGGTGAGACAGGTTAGTTTTACCCTACTTATGACATACAAAATACAAAATGTAACCAACTGAACAGATTTCTTTTTATTTTTTCCCCCTATACGGAGTGTGTGCTCAAAAGAGAGTAAATTGTGAGGGGCGGTTTGAGAAGACGTCTTTTGGGGATGCTTATTGTGCCACAATTTCTTCTTCTACAGTCTCTTTTCAGGATTATTGGCATGCACGCACACATACCCAGGATGTTCTTCAAGGCACCAAGACCATGACTTGAAGTGCACAGACTGACATGTGGGAATTTTTAACCTTCTCAACACCAGCTGGCCCCTGTGTCGAATAGAATTGAGTCCTCTCTGATGAGTCTGTGTTTTACAGTTCCTTTGACATTATCATTGTGAACAGCTATGATTCCCTGAGAGACTCTGAAATATCAGTTATATCTACCAAATATTCATTTAGACTCTTGTGAAGTGAAGAGGATTTTATTT